GCGCCCCTGGAGGACAGAGTGGAACTGCATGCCCCCAGAATCTCCAAGGCAGTCAACCTTCACCTAAGCAGACTGTCAGGGTCGGATGCAGCTAATTTAAAGATCACCTGCGGGGGACCCCTAGTGGAACCCTGCCCACAGCAGGTGCCAATAAACCCGCCGTCCTGCTCTTCCCTCTGGCCTCCCTGACCAGAGGGTGGCGCCAGTGAGCAGAACACCCCGGTCCACGGTTTCAGCAGCAGCACCCGAGGCAGCCCCCAACCCTGCCCTGAGCTGAGGTACCGCTGCTCTGTGAGTCTGGATTTGAACTGCGTCCCCAGTTACATCATTTGCTCATTTGCTTTGCCATCGTGGGAACGTGTGTGGGTCTGGGTCGAGAGCGAGGCCAGTCTTCAGAGCTTGTATCTTTGGTGGCCCCAGGAGGCCTCACCCACCTTCTCCATCTGCTGTGGGACCACCTGGCCGGGCCCAACAACTCTTTCCGAGGCCCCCTTGCCTTCGGGATCGAGGCCAGGCCCTCTCTGATCCAGCCCAGCTACTTCTCAAGTCTTGGCTGCAATCCCTTCCCCAACCCTGTACATCCCAAAAACTCCAGAGAGGGTCTCCAGTTGTTCCCTCTCGCACACCCCAGGGCCTTTGCTTATGCTGGCTGGAGTCCTGCCCCAAGTTACTCTCCTGGAACATTCCTGCCAGTCCCTGGGCTCGGGTTGAGTGCCAGCCAGGGAGGGGCTTTGAGCGTGGGAAGAACCAGGCTTGAGTTTAGATGGGGAGAGGCACCAGAAGCTGACACCTGTCACGGGCACGTGACCCTGTGCACGCGGCCCCCTGGGACCCCCCACGAGGTGACCCTGTGCACGCGGCCCCCTGGGACCCCCCACGAGGTGACCCTGTGCACACGGCTCCCAAGAGACCGACCCACGGGGTGACCCTGTGCACGCGGCCCCCCAAGAGACCCTTGAGGAGAAGGAAGAGGGGCGTGGGCGAGATGTCACCATGCCTGGGCCTCGGGGCTAGAGACCTTCCATTACAGCTAGACGTGACCCGTCACCACCTCAGTGTAGAAGACCTCTCCTCACTTCCCATGTGGCAACTTCCAAGTCACTCTTCAGGGCTGAGGCAGACTGCTGACGCACCCCAATGTGTATTCTCCAGATCTTTAAATACAGCTGTTACGGTACTGCGTGGTCACACGGTCAGCCAGCTAACTTTCCCAGCCTCCACTGCAGCTAGGTGTGGGCCGTTAGTCCCGTGGACTGTTCTCCTCTTTGAGTCTTTGGTTTCCTTCATTCTCTTTCATTTCAGCCGGGAAGAGACCACTAGGTAGCTGTATCTTAGACGGCCGCTCACAAGCTTCTAAACCCCAGACGCTCCTCACTAAACTAGGGTGTAGAACATCATTTTTATGAGTGATGTTCTGCCAACTGACTGGATCATCCCATCAGACTATGGTCCCAAGCCCGTGAAGCCAGTAAGCCGATCCTGCGAGGTGCTTGGGTACATCCAGGTCTCCCTAACTGTGCCCCCACATGCTTTATCACATATGTGGACATGCACGTAGCACACACGAGCATGTACAGACCTGTGCTTTTGGTCCAGTGACTCTGTGTCCCTGTGTAGTTCACGTACTCACAAGAAGTAAACTTCAACTTTGTCGAAGCCACTGTCTCTGTCAGTGGGGGTCAGGAGAGTGAAACGGTCGAGAACCAGGCTCCCAGGTTCAAATCCCAGCACCACCACTTGCCAGTGTGTGACCTCAGGCAAGTCCCCTCACGTGTCTGTCACCCAGGTGGTTCTTCCGAAAAATGTATTAACCTCACCCCTGAGCCCGCACATCAGTGGTCAACTGAGTTGGACAAGTGCTGAGTACACTCAGTAAGGAAGGAAGAGTCCCTTCAGTAAGTGGTGCTGGGAAAACAGGACTTCCACACGTGGAAAAATGAACCCAAATCTATGCTCACGCACACACCAAAACCAACTAAAAGTGGATCAAAATGTGGAAACTAAACCCACAACATTCTTAGAAGAAAATGGAGGCATGAAGCCGTGAGACGGAGTTTCTGCAGCACACCTTCAGAGATGCCAACAAAGGCACAAGCATGAAAGACAAAATGGACCAACAGCCCCTTGCACAAAGGCTCCTGTGCATCCAAGCACTTTATCAACAAAGCGAAGAGACGCCCTGCAGACTGGGTGCAAACCCGGAACACATGTCCAACACGGGTCTAATAGGCCAAAATCCCCACCACTCACTGGCCGCTGCGAATTCACTCAGCCAATTCCACCGGAAGCATTTACGACTGAGCCTGACTCAGCATGTACCGGAAGTCTAAGGAAGACCCCAAACCCACCCCCACTGCCACCGAGGCAGTTCTGATTCTTAGTTACGCTTTAGGACAGAGTAGAACTGCCCCAGAGGGTTTCCAAGACTCTGTCTTTGAAGAGCTACTGGTGTGTTCAAACCATCGACGCTTCAGTTAACAGCCAAATGCTGCAGCCATTGCAGCACCACTGCTCCCAAGTAGGACACATGTCAGCTCAAATATCACTGTCTCTTCATAACTGACCCCAGCAGGGCCACGCCCACTCCCCGTGTGTCTGCAGTGTCCCCCTGAGACGGTCACTGAACTGAGCTGCATGGGACCCATTGCTCCGTTGGACACAGGTCAGCTCAAATATCACTGTCTCTTCATAACTAACCCCAGCAGGGCCACGCCCACTCCCCGTGTGTCTGCAGTGTGCCCCTGAGACAGTCACTGAACTGAGCTGCATGGGACCCATTGCTCCTCAGAGGAACCCCGCACGGAGAGAGGTTCACTATCATCGTCCGCAGTCGGAAGCTGGCTGCGAGAGGAGTTCTCAACCAACCAGGTGCTTCTGTGTGTGCCTTTTCTTTCTTTAATAGTGTAAAATAAAAATAAAAATATAATCGACTTAAGGTCGGCCCATTTCACACACACGCCATTCAGAGGTGACGAGGGCATCTGTCGTCACCGACTCCTGGTATTAAATTGTGAGAAATAGTCACCTGTGGGATCGTTTGTGTAGACTTCTTTCATGTAGTTTTTCCTGATCGTAAAAGAAAAGGAGAAAAAAGATGACCAAATGTGTGCACTCCCTCCACCAAAAGAAATTTTTACAGTAAAGCTAACAAAGTTTTGAGCAGTGTACTGCCTCCAGGCTCACTGTTGTCGGTGCCATCAGGCCGGCTGGGACCCACAGTGACCCGGGTGACAGAGCACCACCCCCCAGGTTTTCCAGGCTGCCATCTTACAGAGGAGGTCAGCAGGGATTGCTTCCACGGTGGGTTTGAACCGCCAAACTTTAACCTTTGTGCCACCAGTGGGATCCCCTGTCCCCAGGATGCAGCATACATTTAAAACCTAGGCGGCTGACTGAGACGAGGGGCACTTTGTAGGCACATCACTCAGCCCGGGGACCAGTACCAGCCCAAGTTCGAGCTACCTTAAAATCAAGTCTCCCAGGGTCTGAGTGTCGAGGCATTTTGCCGGTTCCCTTTGGTTTCCACCAGATCTTCTCAGAATGCTCCTTTGAGGCCCCCGACAGAAATGGCCAACTATGTGCCCAGTACTCAGTGGACATCCAATTGAAGACAAGACCCGCAGGACCCTTCTGAGGTGAAGTCAAGAGCTTCATAAATATGTAAACAGATCCTGATGCCATTGAGTCAATTCTAACTTTAGAATTGAACTGGGGTCCTGCCTGCCATACGAAAGCAGCTCTAGGCTTCTTCTTGGCAGCCCCTTCCCCTGGACAGTTGGCTGGCATTGCCGCCTCCTCTTGGTCTCAGCCCTGCTGCCCCAGGTTCCCCTGGGCCAACCTAGTGCCCTATTCCTGGGGTTTCGGAAGCCTCCCATCAGCGCACCCA